ATTCACTTGTGGTAGTTGTGGTTTGGCCATGGGATTGTTGACAGTTGTTCTAACAATGAGATGTAAGAAATCACGTGGATCCAAACAGAGATAGTTCTTCCTCTTATGCGTAACTGTGCAGCACCCGAAACCTTTCTGTTCAGTTTTTTCAGACGTCTTGCGGAGGCAAATTCCCATTCCGAGCGACAAAAGTGAGAGAGAAGAAAACAGACAGACCAAGAAAGAGAGAACAAAGAGAAGAGCCTCGGAAGAGGGCAACCATAGATTTGCTGCACACCAACAAGTGCAGAGTTTTACCATCAGTATCCGAGGCTGGGATCCAATTATCTGCATGAAAAATAGATTTGGCTCCAACAGGGCTCAGTCCTGTTGGGAATTAATCAAAATCCTGGATTAGCTTTGCTCCCACAAAGACAAATGGGTTTGTTGTTTTTCGCCATTACACTCTGCAACCTATAATTATATCGCCACTGTGTACGGGTTGGTTTGTAAATTGTTGGTGCCGGAAGGAAGGAAAAAGGACCCAGGTTCGCATTTTCCAGTCAGAAGCCTCCACACGCGAGGATGGTGCTGCTGTTCCCGTTGTCATCAGACAATGATTCATCTGTCTTTGAGTCATCCTCAGCTGTCCTTGGCATTTCTTTTTGCTCTAATTGATAATGATGTGCAGTGGCTGCCGCTGAGGCGCCGTGACGGGATCCTGAGGAGACGAGCCAGAAGTGAGAACTGGACCATGAAGGAAGTGTTGGCGGACTGTTTTGACCTCTACCATGTGACTCCCCTCCAGCGGCTTCGGTGACCGGGCTCTGACTGTGTGGCTGTGGAGACGAGGAAGAGATTTAAGTTACAAAGAAACAAATAAAAGCCCAAGAGAAGTTGGAAGCTAGAAATCAATTTCATAGCTGGAATTTTTCAAAATGCATTTAGTTTTAACTCGATGCATTTCGGGCTGAAACGGTTAATTCAGAATTGGAATAATCATCAGCTAATTTAGCAATCAATTAATCATTAACTGGAGTATGAATGCTGAGAAACAAATAATATTCAGAGCATTAAAAACTAAGAAAACATTTTTATGTAAGATAAAGCACCTGTGTTTTAACCAAAACTTTTCAAGTGCATAGTTTTAGCTTCACCTGGTTCAGAATGATGTGCTGTTGCATTTTAGATAACAAGATGTTTATTTTCTTATTTTAAAAAAGAAATGTAATTACTTTAATTTAATTAATTTAATTTCTAATATTGTATTTAAAAAAGGCTTAAATGTAAAATCTGTAGAATGTTTTTTTTTTTTTAATCCAAAAATAATTGCCAAAATAATCGAGTACTAAAACAGTTCAGTAGCTAACAAAAATCTTTTAGGACCTGCAAAGTAGTTTGTGCAAGGAGAACACACTGACGCAGATCAACAATGATCTGCTGTTTACTGCAAATTTATCAGCGGGGACATTTGGAAACAATCCAGCCGTTACATCATCCGAGCATTAACAGCCGGAGTAATCATGTGCAACATCACTTGGAATTGTTGCAATAAATTAAGATGTTCTTCAGAGATTTTAAATCGTCCTCCATCCCTGACTCAGCAAACATTTCAGATGCTTAACATCAGCAATAACATCCAGTTTTTAAGGAGTTTCAGGAACTTTCTGCGGCGATAACTCACAGCGGCGAAGCCTGATGAAGCTCCCTGCAGTCTCGTAAACATAAACCGTCTCATCAGGGCTGTGATGGATGGAAAAAAATCTCACCGAGCAGCTTCCGCTGACGACATTTGCTGCCTCTCCAAATGGAAATGACATAAGGCAAATAATATTCACTGGAAGATTTATTGCACCTAAACAGACGTCTGTCAGGAAGCCATCAATCCTGGGTTTAATCTGCACCTTGGAGCCTGACACTTGAGTACCTGAGACTAATTTAGGGACGCCAGCTGGTATAAAGCATTGAAGCTTATAGAGCAAAATTCAGCTGTAGGTTTTCATATTTTAGGAAGCATAAAGCCTACAATCTAGTACTAAAAGCAGGGTGTCCGCATATCCTCAAAACATCTAATTTTAAGTCATATCTAAAATCAAGGCCTTGAAGACGGTCACATAAAAAATGTATGTTGGCCTTAAATACGTAATTTAAGACATTAAATGTCTTAAATTTGTTGTTGCTGGACAATTTGCTCCAAGCCACAACCTATGTAGTCTAGTTTTCAAACTGGACTTTTCAATCAGGAAAATGTTTAAGTTACATCCAGACATCTTCATCCTGTTTCGTTACTCAAAGCTAAAAAGTGCTAGCTGGCATTTTTGCATCTATCAGGAGAAAGTGCAAATTTATCGTCAGTAAGCTGGATAATGTTTGTCTTTGCCACTGGCACATTCAATTCAAAAAAGCTTGGCACTGTTACTATATAAAATATGCAGTGTTTTTGTACATTTCTGTTGTGAAACGGACCTTAAATTTATCCATAATGGTCTTAAAAATTCTTAAATTTAAGTTGGTGAAACCTGCAGAAACCCTGATAACTTTTAATTTTTTAAAATATGCAATTTTTTTATTTTATTTTTCCATCTTCAAAAATGTTTTAAGGTGTTTTCCTTATGGAGAGTTCAAAGAAATGCCCATGAGTCATTATGCAGTGCTCCAACCCAGCTGAAGCACCTTAAAGATAGTCCAACACTGGATACACACTTAACTCTCCCCCGTCTCTATCAGTAAGCAAAAATTGACTTGATTGCATTCATAGCTTCAGCCCCTCCCCTTTTTTTTGTTGTCCATTTTTACCGCGAACCGGAAAGCCTAGCTTCAAGGAGAGAGGCTCAGAGTGTGCGCGGCTGAGTCGTTTCAGCGGTTTCATCAGCGGTCGGAAGAAAAGTTGGCCCTTTCAGCGTGTGGAAAGCATGCACTCAGAGAGGGATGAAAGTGGGTGAGCGGAGAGGGTTTGGTGGAAAGTCTGGGCGAGATGAGAGGCAGCGGAGGATTGGGAGAGATGTGTTTTGAATGAGAAAGAGTGAGTTTTCTGTCCACTCGCTCTGCCTTTAATCTTCATAGTGGTTATTAATGTATACTCCGTGTGTTTGGGTTTCAGAAGTTCTCCTCATATGTCATCATGTGACCTTTTCATCTCTGTGTGATGTATCCATGTAGGTCTTTTGGTTGTTTTTGTTACTTCTAACACAAAAGCAAATGAGTGTTTTTTTTCGTTTTTTTCCCCCCTCACTTTTATTTCTGTCAGCCATCATTGTCACATCCCCTTCTTTCTTTATCTCTCCAAAGAGAGAACGACATCTCGTTCTCTCTTTGTCTGACGGTTTCATATTCAGATCTTTATTCAAGTCCCGACGGGGAATTAAATTTTACAGCAAATCATGATAAAAACAACAGCGATTACTATTTATCTGCACTGTGATGCAAAGTTCCAATACTTTCACCAAATGGAGATTAAAAACACAAAACCTGTCGGTCAAACCCATATAAGTGTAAGGCTAAGAAAGTGAACAATGAAGAGTATTATGTATTAAAATCTTCCCTCTTTATTTCTTCTTGGATTCCCTGTCTTTTCTCTGATCATTTTTCAGTCTTTCTGTTTTATGTGTATTTTTTCGGTCTCGCTCCTCACTGTTGACCCCTTGACTCCTCAGCTCGGGTCTATCTGATTCACTTTCAGCTCTTACCGGACATCTGAGAAGATGCACCTCTTTGTGCCTTTGGTCAGTTCAAGTGTCTTCAGCTTGGCTTTGGCCTTCAGTTCATTTCCTTTCATTCCTTTGTCGCGAAGAGTCTCAGTTTTGGTTCGAGGGTTTTGTTTGCGGCCTTCTGACGTAATTGTCATCTTCAGTCGGGGAAATGAAAGAGACTTAACTTCTCAACAAAAATAGCAAAACTATTTTCAGTCTGAGTCGTGGGCTGGAGAGAATCTTTGCAGCATCTTGTCGTCAGATAAACTGCTGAGCCGCCTTCGACGCCTCCTTTTGATTTCAGTTTTCATTTGAGTCAAACGTTTTTCTTCGGAGGGGCGAATTAAAATCTCCGCACCGTAGCAGAACAGTTTGTTAGAAATCACCCTGAAATTAAATAGTTATAGACTTTAATGCTTTGTTTGGTGAGTTTTATGTTTTTAGAATAAAAAATTCTCATGATCTAACTAATGGAGGGTTGAATTGACCTGTGGTAACATGTCTTTGTTCTTATGATAACCAGATTTTTTTTATTATTATTACTGGTGGAATTTAACTGCCATGTAAGAAGTAGTACATAATTGTGAAATAAAAGACAAGTAACCCAAGTGACAAATTTTCCCATGTATGTTTGACAATGTTGAACATACAGACAATTATACAGTGGAAAGATTCAGATCAATACACATACGCGTGTTAGAATGGTCTAGTCAAAGTCCAAATCATCCCATCTGATTGCAAAAGAAACATTGTTCTTTACACTTTTCAATTATGCTTTTTTGTGTAGCTTTTTAAAGTAAATATAATAAAAATCAGTTTATGTTTTTTTTCAGTGATTATATGGCTTTGTAATATATTTTGCAAACCTTGTTAAAGGTGCATCTTTGCCAAGTTTGTAACTAAATTGTAAATATATTAAAAAAAAATCTGACCCAATTTTAAGAGTGGAGCAACTCATCTTGAAAATCAGTCCTCATTTCAATTCAGATAATCTGATTAATAAGAATCCACTTTTTTGTACATCGGGTTGTTTGTTTTTTTACTTTAGAAGATGCTGTGATTTATTTTCTTGTCAGAAGATGCCCGCTGGTATAAATGAAGCAATAAGGCAGACAGAAATCTAAGGGGAGGCTGATAAAAGTGGCATCAAAGTGGTTAATCTCTCTCGCAAATAACTTCTTCAAAGGGCTGAGCTCTGTGGGGAACAAACGGATCGCTTTTGGCTTGTTGGATGATTTTCGGTTTCGCTGTGAACTCAGGCTAAGCCACCATGAGTACGCTGAATATTGGTCCTGATCTCATATTGTCGTCGTTATTTTTTTACCCCTGCAGGCTCTTCAACCTGACCCTGAAGAAGCTGATCATGCTGAAGGAGCTGGACAAAGATCTCACTTCGGTGGTCATCGCCGTCAAGCTGCAGGTACGACGGCAGCAACGGCTTCAGGGGCGAAACCAAGAAAATGTCGCGGCTTACTTCCAAACTTCTGAGCCAAACAAAATGGCCGTGTCTTTCTTAAATCTTGCAAACAAGTTCTCCTTAGTTAACTTAGCTTGCACTTAGCAATTATGTCGGCTGCTTTAATCAGGAGAATTCGATTATAGTACTTAAAGGCTTGAGGTTTACTTCTATTGAGAGAGCCAAAAAAAGTAGCCCAGTAGATGTTTCCAAGTTGCTGAACAAACCAAACTAAATGATTCTGTTTTTGTATTTTTTTTTCCTTCTGGAAAGTTTCTCATTGTTTTTATTCTAGGCAGGTTATTGGGTCTGGATGCACATCCTCCTCGACACTCTGCCAAGGACGCTTACTTTAAATTACACAGAGACATAGCAGAGCCAAAAGCCTTTGTTTCTTAGTGTGTGTAGCCCTTACTTCTAGCCATCATCTCATTCAGACAGGGAGAAGGTAAAGTTAACATACATGAAATCAGAAATGTCAAAATAAAACAACTTTACAAACTTGATCATCACATTTTGTCTTGTTAAATCCGCAAATTTCCTTTCCAGATTGGTTGTCAGTTCTCACAAAATTTGAAAAGTGTGGCAAGCGTTGGTAATGCGTTCAGGGTGAAGCACAGTTTCAGACGTGGGTAGTTGCTCACATTTTGCATGTTGGTCAAAGCACATAAATAGTGCATTTTATGTAACCATATCAAAGTAAAAGTGGCCAAATAATAATTTGATTTGATTATAAACATGCCACACTTTTCAGATTTTTATTATCAAAGAAGTTATCAGATCATTTTACTTCCACTTGTTATTTTTTGTTTCTGCATAACACTAAATCCCAATAAAAAAATCACTGAGGATTGTAGCTCTGAATTGACAACGTGCTAAAAAAACAAAAGTTGCCTCTCTGTGTGCCTGTCTAGTTTTTCTAGGCATTGTACTTTTCTCTACTTGAAATATTCTTGTTGATGTCTGCCTCATTTTCCATCTTTATAAGCCAATATATTCTGTTTTCCAGCATCGTTTCTCTCCACTAAGTTTTATTGTGCAGTTTAGGACTTTCTCTGTGCGACAGTAAATCGTTTCCTTCAGATTCACTCGTCTCCTCTTTCCGTCTCCTCGTCAGGGCTCCAAACGGATCTTGCGCTCCAATGAGATCCTGCTCTCCTCGGCAGGACTGACGGAGACCGACTTGCAGCTCACCTTCTCCCTGCAGGTACAGACTCCAGCACTCACAATAATCAGGGAGCCGCCGCGCCCCCACTCTGTTATTCATCAAAAACAAGCAAAAAAAAAAAAAAGCACCTGCTGGTAGTGTGACCAGTCTGCTGCGGTTTTCCACCCTTAAAAAAATAAATAAATACAGTGCTATTTATACAGAGATCATGGACATTTGCCTCTCTCTGACATATAGACTGTGCACTCATGCAGAGAACGATTAATCTACTTCCCCGTAGTGTTTCTTCTGCTCCAAATCATCCCGTCCTTATTCTCCCGGTGCTGAGCGCTGCGAAAAGGTCAGAGAGTGTCTCCCTGTGGATTGTGGCGTGTGCACTGAGCCAGACATTATACATTATACATTAAACCGGCTATAGCGTCCGCGGCGCTGCAGCGGCGGAGAAGCCTATTAAAACTAAGCAGCAGAGTCTTGTCATGGCTTTCAACGATGTTCCAGGAGCCAGTTTGTTCCAATTATAGTTCAGCCGGTGAGATTCTTAATGATGGGTTATGTCATAGTTTGGATGTGACTAAGTGGTTTGGTGCTGGGGGAGAACATGGAGAAATTCAGGAGGTGATAAAAGTCTCCTGCAACAACCCATTAAGATCCATCTAATTATTCAGGCATCAGTGTAATTGTTTTATCGCTATGTACCCATATAGCAGTTCATCTGCTCACCTGTAAGTTGGGTGTGTGTGTGTCTGCAGTACCCGCATTTCTTGAAGAGGGATGCCAACAAGCTTCAGATCATGCTGCAGCGCCGGAAGAGATACAAGAACCGGACCATCCTGGGCTACAAGACCCTGGCTCTGGGGCTCATCAACATGGCCGAGGTATCACAATCAGAATCACACAGTAGACTTCTGATTCTCCTTTCTTGCTCTTTCACTTCTTTTATTCACCTTTTTTTTTTTTTTACCATAAACATTCAGCGCTCATTTTAGAAAGTGTCGCTTTCCAGAATTCAGGAAGAGACGCCTCAGGAATGGCGATAATTTTTTTCGCTCCACTTACTTGTTACATTTCTTAGATTTTATTTTAGTTTCAGTATTTACATTTTCTGCCATGTGCTGCAGTTTTTTGGGGGTTTTTTATATTACATTTGTTCCGAGAAGTTTTGAAATCTTTGCTCCCCCAACAATCTGACAGATGATACTCGACTGGAGTGAAGCTTCTGGCAAATGTCAATATTATGTTATGATGCTTGCCGTTAATAAAAGAGTTCATACACAATTTGGTAAAAAAAAAAAATCAATCTTTATGATTATAGTTCTTTTCATTTATTAAAGTTGTATCCGTTTTGTCAGTTTGCCCATCTAACCCTCCGCATTTCAAGATATCTGTAGAACTATCAGAAATTAATTCTCTATCTATTTTTTTCATGTGGCTAATTAGCTAAAGATAATTGAAAACTGGAGATTTGAGTCTGAAAAATTATTTTTGCAATATCGTTCCAATGGATAAACATTTTTTTGAACTTTGCCGTTGAAAGTTGAACTTAAAAATTACACATTTGTTTATTTCACATCGGCAAAATAGCATTGGTCAATTTGGACACTTTAGTCAGGTTGTCTGATTTAAAAAATATTACGTTTATGTACCTAAAATTAAGGCCTTTAAAATGTATTACATTCATAAGAAAATACGTAAGATGGCCTTGAATACGTTAACCACAGGTGTTACATTTTGTCGTAGCTGGACGTATATTCTATTTAGTTTATTTTTCTTGTAGGACTTTTCTGTCTGGCAAAACGTTTGAGTCACACAAAGCCATCATCACATTCTGTCATAGGACGCTGTTGAGGCTAACGCTAACCAGCTGCTAGTTAGCCTTTGCTAGCTGGCTTGCATTTTTGCGTCATCACTAATTAGCTGAACAACATTTGTCTTGGCTGCTAGCAAACATATGTTGCCAACCCGTGCAATGTTACATTCATTTTCATTCTGTGCAAAAGTGTTTGACACAACTACAGTACAAATTATGCCATTTTCTTTTGTACATTTCAGTCGTGATACACGTCTTAATTTTCATTTATAACGGTCTTTAAAAGTCTTAAATTAGAGTCGGTGAAACCTGCAGAACCCTGTTAAGCCACAGCAAGGCTGCTGCTATTGTCGTCTATACTGTCATCTACATCCACTTCTTTCTTCTCTCCACTTCCTACCTTTGGAGAATTTCAATTACCTCCAGCCTCTTGAAACCCATTTAATGCTAACCTTCGTCGTAACTCAATTCAAGCTAGTGCACTAAAATTCAGACGGCAGTTTTCAATCTTTGGCCTGGCTGTCTCTTTATGGCCTCAACAAATGTCACCATACATCAAAATTCCAATTAGGTTTAAGTCTCCTCCTGCAATGTGAAGCTGTTTCAAAAGGGACTGGATCTACTGTGTTTGTGTGTTAGTATTTGGAGGTTCATTATTTGCTATCAATGTCTTGATGTTGCTTTCAGAGGCTGGGTGTGAAAGTAAAAGTCAAAATTATTCACTGCAGGAAATTTCCTGAACAAATAGTAATATCTCAGATCGGAGATGAGAAAGCCCAGAAAACAGGAAGAATGCAGACTTCATCAGGTAATGGATATGCTCCCGAGGATGTTTACGCGCTCTAAAATTAGCCAAGACCCTTTCAAGTGCATGAAACTACAAGAGGGGCATACGCTCAGCTCGTACATGCCACCCTGTATCAGACTGTCAGCTCGGATGAAAGGCCTTCCCCCTCCTAAATGGAGGGTTACTCCACTGTGCTCCTGCCTGCTTTCTGCCTCCGGCCCTCTCTGCATATAAAATAAAGGCAAATTTTCTGCATGAAGCTCTTTCAACTGACAAGTTGGCCGCAAAGTGTTCCACAAAAGGGCAAGAGCCACAAATGCAAACTCGCTTCGCAAGAAAGGCTTGAACTCATTATGTTTACAGCCTGTGGAACATTCCCACATCGTGTCAGGCTGCAAAAATGAACTCCGTTGAGATTTTACGCAACATAAGGCAGAATTGTGAAGTGGGACGAAAAGGATGTAGAGGATTGTTTTCGACCTCTTTGTACAAATGCAATCTGAAAAGTGTGGCATGCTCTTGAATCAAGCCTGTGCCCCAGTCTGAAGTCGTTGGTGACTTCCTGACAGGTTTTTTTCCAGTCTTGCCCTGTGATGGATTGCTCCATCCATCTTTCTATCAGCTGAGACCGACCTCTTCCTGCTAAACGTAAACCCACATCATAATCCTGCCACTACTATGTTTCATTGTACAGATGATATGGTTCTTGTAAAGCCCACATAGTTTTATATGTCGTCCAAAAAGCTCAATGTTGGTGTCTTTTGACCAGAGCGCCTTCTTCCAAATGTTCATGGCGTCCCTTTCATGGCAAACTTTTAAACGAGACTCCCCCAGATTACTCCCACATCTCAGCTATAAATAATAAAATCCTCATGAAATTAATACAGTTGTAATGTCTGCAAGTCACAGTTCGATGGATACTGATCATACATTTGGGTTTTGATTAACCATTTTAATTAAATAGAACCACCATTTAAAAAATATTTTTATTTAAATTGCAGGACAATATTTAATTCATTTCATAATCCATTTTTGTGTGTGTCATTTAAATTATAGTAAGACGCAGAAAAACACCAAAAGGAGAAAAAAAACCTTTTCTGCAATTTTCTGATGAGAGGTTTTAGTTTTGAATCAAACAGAAAACAGAGATTACATTATCCCCATCAGTTGAATTGTGCAACTTTTGCTGTTCTGGTTTTCTTAAAAAAAAAAAAATGTTTTGAAATACATGCTGTTGGTGGATTTTTTTTGTTGTTGATACATTTAAGAAATTACAAAGGAAAAAAAAGTCAAATATTTTTAATATTTTGATCATTCAATCACTGACCTGATTCAGAAAGGCTGTGACCCTAAATATCTGTAATTACTTGCTCCACTTAAGCTAAAACCATATCAAAAGTGATTATTTTATGCCTAGTTCTGAGAGGTTTCCAGCCTCACAAAGCTCAGTTTGTTCTTTATTGCCGTGCTCCATGCAGCCTCGGCTATCTGTGCCTCTGTTTTGTTTATGCTTTTTCTTCACCATTAGCAATGTGCCAGTAGGGAAAAGAATGAGGGAGGTTTATTTTAAATGCTGCAATTATCGCCGGGATAAAAAGTGTATTTTAGGAGAAAATTTGAGACGTGCTTCGGTTCAGCGTAATGGACTAAAGCAGCCGAGGCAGAGGTGGAAATTTAATGGATTTTTAAAAGGCTCTGCCGTCGTTTTCAAAGAACAAACCTGCAGCGCATCCATCATTGTCTCCGGCCTCTGGACGGTGAATAATAAAAAAAAAAAAACAACAACAACAAAAGCAGACGGATGATTGGGAGTATTTCTCATTAACTATGCACATTGTGCGTCTGTGCATTTTGTCAGATTTGCATAATTTGTTCTTCGGCGTGCAAAACCGGTTAAAATTAGCAACAGCAGCGAGGTTCTCCGAGCTCCTGGCAGCATTCGCTACATGCGAAGGGCACCGAGCGAGCCAAGCGGATGGATGTGTAGCTGTGATGTCTCTCTTTAATCTGTGGCCACGGCTGTCTCCATAATAAGCTGCTCAGACTTCGTTAACTCTGTCGGTGTGACCAGACTGCTGAGAGAGACAGGGTGTCATTCAGTACTCGCACGCGCACACTACCAAACGGAGAGGAAGAGATGCTGCTGTTGGCTGCAGACATGCGGAAAGTCTACAAGTCACTTGTTCGTGTTTTCTCCTCTTTTGTTTCGGTTTGCATTAATCCTTGACTGCTTTGCAATGCAGCAGTCTGAATCAATAGAACAGAGGCTCAGCTAGAGGATGGAGGACAGTGGGCATTTATTGTCCGTAAAAATCTCATTTCCAGAATGCATGACTAAAGATTTCAGTTTCAACAGTTGAATCCACCTGAGCTGTGTATCTCTGCAGCTCCTCTAACGTTGCATGAGCCTGTTAGCTGCTTCTCTAATAAATGCCGTCTCCGGCTTTGCTTCAATTATTCATTCTTTTGCTTCAATTATTCACTCTTTTGCTTTGCTTCATCGTTTTTGGGGCTCCAACTAATGATTACTGTAGTAATTGAATATTCTATTGGTAATTTTTTGTGTGATTAATCATACGAAAATTGCAACCGCAGATTTTTAATGTAACCATTTAAGCCTACTTTATGCAGGATTAGAAGTGCATAAAAAATACAAATAAACAAATAATTCAACTCCTTTTTAAAATCAAATATTTTGTTCCCTAGCATCAGCTTGATCATCTGCAGCAGAAGATGGTGAAAACAACTAACATCAACACATGAAAAGCTCAGTTCTTCCCTCCTGATTGTTTCAGGATTAACCAATTTATAGTTCCATAGCCAAAAGTATTTTATGTTTGTTTTTGTTTTTATTTATTTATTTATTTTCACATAATTTGAACTGGGAAAAGCTTAAACTATGTTTATGTTACTTGAGGAATCCTGGTTGGAACATATTTACAAAGATTTTTTTTAATATTGCATAAAAAATGTAGAGTATTATTTCAGCAATTTGCTTTTTTTTTTTGTCTATGCTAACAATTAGTCAATTACTAAATTAGTTGACGATTATTTCAATCAATGATTAATCGCGATTCATACGATTAATCGTTTTCGTTACTAGTCACATGGAATTCCAATAAACATATTTTAAAAACTTTGCAGTTACAAAGTAGCAAAGTACAAAAACATATCCAAAGGCATTTGGATACGTTTGCAAGACGCTGTGACCTCCGTTTTGATGGTAAAAGAACAAAGTTGTGTTTTGATCAAAACAAGCAGAAGCTTCATGTGATAAATGGTGGAACTCACAAACTAACTACGACGTCGTTCATTCTCGTCACCCTGCAGGTGATGCAGCACCCCAGCGAGGGGGCCCAGGTTTTGGGGCTCCACAGCCAGCTGAAGGATGCCTCTGTCCCCGTCGCCGAGATCAGAGTCTACTCCCTGTCCAGCCAGCCCATCGACCACGAGGGACCCAAAGCGAAGATGTCTGGTACGGATGCTTGTTTTCACTCCGTCGTTCCTTTTTTGAAATCGAAACGGCTGTGCCGTTTTGCTCTCATCGTCCAGCTGCTGTTACGGTTCACTCTGCTTTCTCTAGATCGCTCCCCAGACATTGACAATTATTCTGAAGAAGAGGAAGAAAGCTACTCATCTGAACAGGAGGGCAGCGATGACCCTATTCATGGGCAGGTGTGTTTCAGTAAAAAAAAATAATAATAAAAAAAATCTACGCTTACAAATCCTTTCCTGTAGCTCACCAAGAAGTTTAGCAATGTATCACCAGAAATTTATACGTTTATTTCTTGTTCAAAAACAATCTAAAGTCTGAGCACTCAAAGCAAATGCAAAAAAAAAGACATGTACCCCAATTGGATTTCAGAGCGAAACAAAACGGCTAAACAAAGAGGCAGAGAAGTATGTGGAGGGAATCTGTGGCTATCGGGGCCAGACACACACCAGAGGGAGATAAAGCAGGAGCGGTGCTGCTTTGTGTTGGCAAATTAAAAAGACTCCAAGTAGAGGGATGGAGAGAAGCTGAGGAGAGGATTAATGGAGGGTGGGGTAGTTATGCAGAGGCATACTTTCCTTTCCATCGTCTCCTCATCCTGTGGGGGTGTCGGAGTGGGATGCACGTTAAATGTTCAGGAGAGACTGAGGAAAAGGGTTAAACTACAGAAGATATCAGGTGTTTTTATTCTTCTGTCCCAGGGGGAAAACAGCTGGTTTCTCTTCAGAAATTAAGTTAACATTTAGAAAAATGCAAAAAGAGTCATCTTAAGGTGAGCAAGTCTACAAACCACCAGTAGTTTCTTCCAATTTCGCTAACCAGTTGTTAGAGAAAGATGCCCAGAAACTTTGTTTTCTGACCTCCTCTGGGTTTTTAGTAAGAACCGCCTGCTTTGGTCAGCTGAAACTAAAACTGTGCTTGGTTGGGCTTGGCAAGAAATGAAGAACGAATATGGAAAAGCACACCATGTTCAAGATTCTGGGAACCTTGCGAGAGTTCATGGCAACATAAACTCAATAAAATATGCTTAATGCCGATCCGGATGTTTTGGCAGGATAATAATTCAAAACGTAGCTACGCAGAAACTGTTCGGAAGAACCTGTGGGTTAAGTAGAGAGAGGATATCAAAAGAAGAGACCCAAGACTCTGGGCAACGTAGAGAGACTGTGCCAAGAGGAAAGGTCAAAGATTCCTCTTTCTGTGTTCTCCAACCACAAGAAATGTTAAAGAAGAGTTAGTGCTGCCACTTTGGCAAAGGGGGTTTGCACAAGGTATTGACTGCATTTCTTACACTGCCAGTAAGACGATTTAAAACCACTTTCAGAAGGGAAAGACGGCACATTTTAAAGCTGGAAGAACTGACGATGTGATCCTTTAGCAGTAACCTCTTCTTGTCTCATTTTCTCTCAGTATTTGTATGACGAAGATGACGAGGTGAGGAAGAAGAAGCCGCGGCGTAAGCTCCCTCCCAACGCCGGCAGCACCAGGGTAAGACGAACCTCCTTCTCGTTTCCGCCCCCTGTCGATCGTGTTCTGCGTCTCCTGGCTTGTTCTGTCTCTAAAGCAATTTGCGGCTAACCCGACTCGCCCAGTAGCCTTTTCAAACAAATCTGATTTGACTTGACTGACTCCACGAACCTATTCCTCCCCACCCCCTGCCGCCCTAACTCGCATCGGCTCACTCATCTCGCCTTTATGGTTTATTCATAGCTCCGCTCGTTCTCCACGCTCGGCATTCCAGCCAATTTCCATGCAAAAGAATAAAACAACGATTTACACAAATCACAGGAAGAACCTGTTATAACAATAATCAAATCCTGCGTTGAGCGGGTACAGTCTTGCACACTTGCAGCTTGCAGATTTTAGCACAAACGACGCTTGTTTGCAGTTTAAGAAGTAGTAAGCTTTGTTTTGTGAGTGTGTGTTTGTGTGTGTGTGTTGTAGCAGGAGTATCAGTGTTTTATAATGAAAAGCTCACACACCTCAAATGATAACACCTGCACTGCTGCAGCTGCAAAACTTGAACATGTTGAATTTTCATAAAGTTGATGGTCTTTTTATCACAGTTAGCTCAAATATTCCAGTTCTCTGAAACCTAGTTTGACTCAATCTTCTAATGTTACTGTAGTTTTGCTGATCTTATTGAACACTTTTACCCAAAGGTTACCAGTATATTTCTACCTGTTTGAATGATGTCCCTTTTTCACCCTTTTGTCCTGCTTTGCAGCAAAAGGTTAAGACATTGAAAGTGAAGGCTGCTTAAGGTCAAGTTCAGGCAAAGTCGAAGTCAGTATTTTTTTATAAATACCAACATGGATGTTTGTTGACTGGAGTTTTGTTATGAAATGGGGATGAAAATAGAAGCCAGATTTCCTCTTGTTGTTCCACACAGTCAACCAGGCCTTACGTAACAATATGAAACTGTGTTTTGTCCATATTCATCCTCAGGTTAAATCATTTTCATAGTTTTGTGAAAATTATTTATAAAATATGCTAAAATGATCATTTTATGAAATCGGGCAACTTCTGTCTTGTGTGTTTTTACAAGCAAAGCTGATTTCTTTAAGCTTTCCAAAACTGCTCAGTGTGTGTTTTATGCATTATGGAGTGCAATATAGTTAAGCTTTAGGCTTGTAAAATGGTCTAAAGTCTAAAATACTTCCAACACTCGGTGCTCTTTGGAAGCTGAAAGCCGTTTTAATGAGCATCTAAGATGCTGTGTTCAAAGAGCAATAATTTTTTTCTTTTATCTTTTAAACTTGGGGGTTTTATTATTATGGTCACAACACAAAACTCTTTACTTGGAATTTTAGTTGAACAGAGTGGCATTAACCGTCAGAGATTTTAATTTTTTTTATTGTTTTGGTTTGAATTTTCTTTCATTAGATGCATTTCTTGTCATTTTTTTAATCTAACAATCATGTACAATTATTTAATAAATCTTGTTCCTGTCCCATCAACCTGTCAGGAACTGTACATTAAAATCTTTTCCTCATGTTAATTATTGTGCATCTTTAAATAAAAAATACCTGAAAGAGATGATTCAAAAAATATCCATGTTGCAAAAGTCACAAGAAAAAAACAACAACAAATATGAAGAGAAAATTTTGATAATTTTTCCATCTAAACAAGGTCTGAGGAAAAAAGCCTGTTTTGGGTTAAAAACAAGCTGCTGACTCATTCCTATTAAATATTACATAAACCATGTCTCCCTTCTTTTCCAAATGGCTTTGAATGTTACATAAATAAAATATGCTTTGCAATAATTCAGCCAAAACATCTGCGGCGAAAGGCGTCAACTAGATAACCCCAATAATTTGCTCGCCCCAAAATGTTTGACTTTAATGAGACCGGACACAGAAATGTCCTCCTCTGTAATATGCTGTTTCCATGAAGTGTTGTTTTGAGTCATCAAGCATAAAAAGCGACCTCAGACGTTGCCGGTTTATGTCTTTTCTCTCTTTCACTCCTTCATAAAAACGAACACAAATGTCCCGAGTGGCTTATCCTGCTCTTTGTTTTCCACATGTTCCTTCGCAGCAACCCAACATCAAGCAGAAATTTGTCGCCTTGCTGAAGAGGTTTAAAGTCTCCGATGAGGTCTGTGCTTCTTCTCTGCTCTTTTCTCTTTTATGCCATCTTGTGCCTTTTCCAGCAGGGTTTATAGGTGTAATTAGCTGTAGAGTCAGCATGTCCTTCAGTTCAGCTTTGACTTGCAGGGATGTGGGAGAGATCGATGAAAGGACAAAAAAGACAAAAGAGTAACTTATCGGGACAAAGGGGTGTTGGCTTGGTGTGTTGCATATTCTAGATGTGTCTAAATGGACAAAATGTGCGTTTTGCATCTTACTCAAAGTTGTTTTTGGTGTCTGTACTTTTTTTAAATTGATTTAATTTGCAGTTAAAAATGAACATGCCACATGCTGATAAAAACAAAAGTTTTGAATTAAAAGAAGTAGATGGAAGAAAGAAAACGTTTCTCTCAAAAATCAGGTCGCTATACTGTGACAACTAAACAACAAAAGCAACCAAGCATCAATCATAGAGATGTGCATACATCTTCAGATGGCCATGTGTGCATTTACACACTGTTTTTTCATCCCTTTATGTGCAATTCAGAATTATTGCACGTTGTTTTATTTTTCTAACCACCAAGCTGCTTGTGTTTCATTTTGCTGTTGCAGGAGGAAATGTCTCTGTTACGTTCAGAGAAACTGTTTACAAATATCAAATTAAAAATTACTTTTTAATCTGTTTTTTATTGTGAATATTACTGTTGGGAAGCATAACAGGAAGGCACTGTCTCTCATGGATGTCGGTCCATTCACAGCCTGAACTCTTCTTTACGAATGTGTGTTAATGATAGATGTGAGCACATGAGGTATACGATGTGATAAAAAGTTAAAAGTCCGTTGCAGAGAGAGTGTCTGTGTGTCTCGTCCAGGTTGGTTTCGGGTTGGAGCACGTGTCGAGGGAGCAGATCCAGGAGGTGGAGGAGGATCTGGACGAGCTCTACGACAGCCTGGAGATGTACAACCCCAGCGACAGCGGGCCGGAGATGGAGGAGACCGACAGCATCCTCAGCACACCCAAACCCAAGCTGAGGTAACAAGAGAGATGCGATATTTAAGAGGGACTGGGGAAGTCTTTCATACTGCCCAATGAAAGCCAGGGAGAGTATAAAATAACTGCTCGCTCTTTTTTTTCTTCTTCCTGTTCTGGTGATATTTGCTCCCAAAGATTTTCTCCGGCATCCACCTGCCCCCCATAGCGTCACCTGCAAATGCTACAGAAATAAACTCAAGAATCCTGGAGAAAATTTAGTGCAAACTCAGTAGGCCTCCAAAACCACAATATATGGATGTGGCTCAAATACAGAACTGAATAGATTCAACAGAAGCCACATTGAGTACCAGCTCTACTCTGACTTTCACCCTTCAGGAGCAATTCAGAGCTCCCCCTGTTGGCGAAACACACCACTTGCACTTATAGCTTATCTGATCTGCACCAGTTACCTCTGATCACATTTCACGAGAAAAATATTTAATGTACATGAAATTAAAACATTTAATAGATTTGGTGGATTCATGAAAGAAATCTGCTTTCCTAAAATGTATCGTTTGGTCGTCTAATCCTAAAGATTGGGTTTGTGTAACTAATCATTCCTTCTTGAGCGATGAAAGGAACAGGACTAAATGTTGAGACCTTCTCAATCATTTTTTTTTGACAGCCCGTAATCCATATTCTGTGGGGTTTTTTCACTGTTGGCATGTTTTATGTGAAGAAATATTTAAATAATCCTGTCTGCATAAGGACTCTAAGACAAAAAAGACTTTGCCATAGTCTTGAAAAATGGAACAAAATATCCTCTTTTTTTTTTCTTTCATTTCTTCTTTGTTTAGGCCGTTTTTTGAAGGAATGTCCCAGTCCAGCTCACAGACAGAGATCGGCAGTCTAAACAGTAAAGGCAGTCTGGGTCGAGATACGTTCAGTCCAGTAAGTACCTCAGCATCCGTAAAAAAAAACAAGAAAGCTCGATTGATGCTCTTTATATACTCCAACTATAATATAAGAATCCAGAATCACATGAAGTTCAAAACGTGGAAAGAGAAAAAGGAAAATATAGCTTTTGCTTGATGTGGGGGGAAAATCCACATTTCAAAGCTTTTAGAAAGCCTTTTTAGAATAAATAATGAGAGAAATGTTCTTCCAGTGTTTTCACAATGAGTCAGAAACCCAGTAAGCCTTTTTGACAGCCACCATCTGCCTAATAGAGAGGATTCAGCCTGTCTCAGTTCAGCATCTCCCCGCTGTCTGTGCTGCAGCCTCTCTTTTTACATTGGTGTAGAAAAGCATCAACTGCAGCATTCCTGTTTGTCCAACATGCACTAAAAAGAAACAACTGCTTTCACTTTAATCGGTGGAGACTTGGCTTTTCTTGCTCCTTCTGATTTCAAGATCCTGCAGATGTTTTCTTTCTAAAGCAGAATACCGCGGTTGCATGATAAACGTGTGTTTATTTTATTACGGTGTTGACTTTACACTGAGCTGATCTGACTGCTCCGCTCTCGTTTTCCCAGCAGGGGGAGCAGCCTCCCCTGGAGAAGATGAAACCCTCTCGCAGTCGCAACCTGGACGAGATCCCGTCAGAGACGGACACACTGGTACGAGCGCTTCCCCGCCTCTGTTAGTCGTGCTTAGAACTCCATTGATTAAAAGTGGTTGGTTTGTGTTTGCAGGAGCTGACAGACCAGGAGCTTTTTGCCGAAGTTGGCCCCTGCATTACGGTGTCCGTGGCAGAGAAACCCCGTACGCCCCTGAAAAGCAGCAAAACTGAAATGCAGCCCATAGCATCTCCAAGGTAACCTATGAAACGATCCACTAAACTACATTGACGTTTGTGGTTGTAGCCTGACAAAATGTTAAAAGTGCACAAATATGTAAACTGTGTTGTCTGTGATCTAATCTGCTCAGGTTCGGATTCCGCCTTGGTTTATTATCTTTTTTTTTTTTTGTGTGTGTGTGTTGTGTTCAGACTGGATGGAGGCCACACGCCCAGGCACAAGCGCAGCAGCAACACGCCCATGAAGGAGAGGCAGCTGTCCAAGCCTCTGAGCGAACGCACCAACAGCTCCGACTCGGAGCGATCCCCGGAGCTGGGGCACAGCACGCCGGTAAAAGATTAGCTCTCCTCTCCCATCAGAATTTTAATGACTTTTTTTTCTCTCCCTCTCTCTCTCTCCGGGATCTTATCGTAGGCAGCATTATTCCTTCAGGCTTTATGTTTCCCCACCGAGGGGTTTACACATAAAACAACTGCTTTTGTTCTTTGTCCTCTTTTTACCAGAGCACCGTTCCTAAAAGCAAAGAAAAGTCAGGCAGTCTGCTAATGCAGGATCCCTCGGAGCTCAGAAATGAATTATGCATGTGCAGATGAATCATCTGAAGAGTAAATGTGGTTCTAAATGTGAGGGGGGGATTTTTAAACCCGGGATATTTCTGTGTGTGTGTGTAGGTTCTGAGGAAAGTCGTGTACGATCAGCTGAACCAGATTTTGTTATCAGACTCTGCCCTTCCTGAGAGCCTCATCTTAGTCAACGGCACAGATTGGCAAGGGCAGGTGAGCCTTTCAGTGCCCCTGAAAAACAACCCGGTGCTCACTGTTTCCACTGCAAGCCTTACCTTTCCCGTGTTTTTCTGCTGCAGTTTGTTGCAGAGCAGCTTCAAGGACAGAGACACCCGGTGGTCTGCACGTGTTCAGCTGCTGAGATCCAGGCCGTACTTTCTGCTGTGCTCACGCGCATACAGAAATTGTGAGTTTAAAATAAATCTGTTAGTCCATGGCAGAAACTAACGATTAATTCATTAATCTATTAATTATTCTGATGATTAATCGATTATTCGGATAAAAAAAAGGCACATTCTGCATGTTTTTCGTTTAACCACCTAAGATTGTTTTTTTGCCTACAGTATCAGAACTATGTTAAAAAAAATGCAAATAAACTATTTATTTCTTGTATTTAAATCTGAAAATAAACATTTCATTGCATTTCTTTAGTGAAGCTGAAGCGAGTGAAGCTAAATCTATGCCACCTTAGGAGTTTTGGATAAAAACATATTTGTAGACAAAGGCGTTTTTATCTTAAATCCAAAATGTTTATAGCAAGTACTGTTCTGAATATCCTGCTTTTTCACCAAATGGCCCCTTTTCAGTCTGTTTACTCCAGTTAGCAATTAATCAGTTACAAATCAGTTGACTTTTTAATAAATTAATCACGATTAGTCATGATTAATCCGATAAACTGTTTCAGAAATCACACTTCAAAGCTAATCAGACTGAATAGCTGTTGAAGTTTACACGCCGTTCTGTCTCCGTTTCCCTGCAGCTGTAACTGTAACTCCTCCATGCCCAGAGCGGTGAAGGTGGTGGCTGTGGGCAGCCAAAGTTACCTGGGAGCCATCCTGCAGTTCTTCGTCACTCAGCTGGCGAACAAAACCTCCGACTGGCTCAACCACATGCGCTTCCTGGTGGTTCCTCTGGGTGAGGAAGGCTCCACTAACAGTATGACCCTTAATACATTCAGAAAGAAAAAAAAAAGGTTTTAAAGTGACTCTGTGTGCTCAGTTGGTCTCTTTCTCTTTTTCAGGGTCGCATCCGGTGGCTAAACACCTCGGGTCCCTCGACAACCGCTACAGCTCCTCCTTCCTGGACGGCGCGTGGAGAGACGTGTTCAGCCGTTCTGAGCCTCCTCAGACTGGTAATAGCCGCTGCCTAGATCTGCAAATCGAGCCTCTGAATCTTCCTCTAATATCTTCTGATATCTTTGACCTTCAGATCAGTTGGACGTTTCTGGGAGGATCAGTCAGTACATCAGCGGCGCCTCAGTCACTCACCAGCTGCCCATCGCAGAAGCGATGCTGACCTGCAAGCATAAAACGTGAGTGAAAAAAACAAAACAAAACATGAAAGCATCAAAAATTACCTGATTTTTTTTTTGGTTTTCATTTCTACTTCAGGCGGGAAGAAGAATCTTACCAGAAGTTCATCCCCTTCATCGGGGTGAGATTTTAATCTTCTGATAAAACTGTAATTGACACGATTAATTGATTATTGAAATAACCGTCAACTAATTATGTAACCAATTTATCATTAACCCGAGTGTCCAAACTCAAAACGCCCAACATATTCAGAGCAGCATTTAAGCCAAACTGTACAAATTATATGTTCACATTTAGAAAACTCCTTTGTCTCAAATGGCCCTTTTTTGTATTCACTCATTTCAAATTCACTAAAGAAATGATGTGGTTTTGCATTTAAGATAATTCATTCTTAATTTTCTTATCAACAAAACGGATTTAGTTATTTATTTTCATCTTTGAATTCATTTCTAAAGTATTAATGAAAAATCTACAGAATGTGTAATTTACCTGATTTATCAATGAATCATCAGAATAATCCACTAATTGATTACTTAAATAATCGTTAGTTGCGGCTCTCATCTCAATCTGTTGTTTTCTAGGTCGTAAAGGTCGGCCTCATCGAATCTGCGAGCTCTCCATCAGGTGAGGGTTTGTCAAAGAGTTTGAAAGAGTGCAGAGACGATCCACTTCAGCCCGGATCAGCTGACGTCTACGGGGATTATTATTTTTTCTTCCAGGAGATCCAGAGGAGGGTGTTGGAGTCAGCTTGGCCGTCCCATCGACATCCCCACCGTCTCACGGCTCCCCGTCAGGAATGATCAAAGAGGCAGCCACGCCCCCCTCGTCCCCGTCCATGGGCAGCGTCCTCGCAGTGCAAGGGTAAGACGATTAATCTGATTGGATCTTCATTTCACCCGACGACTGTTTGGGTTTGAAATCAAATATTCTAAACCAGAGGACAGGTTTTGAGTTGGCTAGAAATTGAATTAACAAACGCCAGAGTGGCGCCTCAAATTGAAGAGCAGATAAATGTGCAGGGGGCTGCGTGAAGTTGTTTTCCTGTTGTCGTTGATGATGTCTTTCTGTTCCCAGGAGCCCCAGCATGCCTCATGGTGTGGACGCCATCGGCCTGCAGGTGGACTACTGGTTGGCTTCGCTGGCGGACAAGCGGCGGGAGGGCGAGCGACGCGACACAGGCTGCAAGAACACGCTGAAGAGTGCCTTCCGCTCACTGCAGGTCAGCAGGCTACCAGGAGGGGGCAGCAGCGACCCGCAGACCCTGGTTAACACCATGGCCATGACCGTGGTCACCAAGGAAAAGAACAAAAAAGGTCAGCAGAGGCTCCTGTTTTCTATTTTACAGTCACTTTTGCATTATTATTTCTGAGCCTGGATGATTCTTTTTTTGTAAACTTGTGCAGTTAGAAAAAGGTGATTCTCAAATTATAGGTGAACTTAAGTGAATATTTTTAATATTTCTTACATAAAGGATTCAGAATTAGAAGTTTGATCTTCAGAGATGCTGAAGCTGACAGCACTGGCTGAAAGAAAAATGCACAAAGTCTAAATGCAGGGCTGATAGATGGAGCAGGAAAAAACACACATCTGTCATAATTAGTAAACACTTCTTTAAGGCTGCAACTAAAGTTATCTTAGTAATTGATTATTTCTTTGATTGATGTCACATTTCACTGTAACTATGCCAACCCCCCAAAAATTGCTCTTGAGAAGTTTTCCTGTTTATTGTCTCCCCCAATGATGAGATGTTTATATAATGTTATTTCTTCCATATTTTTTTACTTCTGTTCTCATGTTTACTATAGTACAACTCATAAATGACACAAACATATGAGGACAGGCGGTCATTTAAGTTGACATGTAAGCCTTTCGTCTCGTTGCCTTCAGTTCCCACCATCTTCCTGGGAAAGAAGCCCAAAGAGAAGGACATGGACTCCAAGAGCCAGGTGATCGAGGGCATCAGCCGCCTCATCTGCTCCGCGAAGCAGCAGCAGACCATCTTGAAAGGTGACCTGACCGCGCCGCGTTTGCCCGTCGCTTATTTGCGTCTGCGTTTCACTCACTCACTCCTCGCCTCTTTTGCCTCCAGTGTCCATAGATGGCGTCGAGTGGAACGACGTCAAGTTCTTCCAGCTGGCCGCGCAGTGGCCCACTCACGTCAAGTACCTACCGGTCGGACTTTTCGGCTACAGCAAGCCCCCGTCGTAGGACCGAGCTTTAACTCCTCTCACTGCCCCCCTCCCTTTTTTTTTTCTTCTTTTGCACAAAACACCTGCAGAGAAAACGGGGAGCAAACAGACGGACCGTTTTTCTTTCTTCAATTCCACCAAAATGAAAGGGGGGGAAAAAAATCACATTCGTCTTATTTCTCTATGGAGGAGGAGGAGGGCGCTGGAGTGCAACGCTGTTACAAGTCACTTTAATGCTCTTTTTTTAAGTGTGTTTGTGTGCGGATTAGGTGTGCATGCACACGTGAATGTACATTATGTTTGTGTGTGAGTATGCGTGAGATTACAAGGATATCACAGCACAAGGTTATTAGCTAGCCGCCATTTTTGTTTCCGTTTTAAGGAAAGCAGCAGCATGAAAAAGAAAAAAACAAAAAAAATTGACCTACTTTAAGCCCTTACTCTCTAAACAGGACGCTTGTAGACTTCATCACACCACCTGATCGACACACGACCTGCGTGCCGGAAACAGTCACTTCTGCTTCAGTTTGCATGGGCAATCCAACCACGAAGACTCTTTTGCTCGAAAGGCATAAAAACATCATTTCCACACAAAAATTGATCCACTAATGTACTTCTATTTTTTTTCATTTCAAGGGCTTCCATTTAGCAGTTTTTGTTCTGTATATAAAAAAAGAACTATTTAGATGTTCAAATGCCAAAAAAAAGAAGAAAGAAAAACAAACTACATAGATACAAGGGGGAAGTGTCTTAATTTAGAGTAGTGCTCTTGTGAAAACCCCTTATCAATGCCGTGTCGTGACTCGTAGTGGTGAATCTGACGTGCCGTTTTTCTTTCTCTTCAATCGCTATGCACTTCTGAACACACACGGACCATTTGAATGACTTGAGCTGGCGATAAGGCATAATAACCTGACGAAATATGCAGCAGGTACAACTGCTAAGAGCAAAATGCATGCTTTGACAGCCCCAACAGCATTGAAGGGAATATGTCGGGAGGGGGAAAAAAAATGCTTTTATTAATTTTTTTACCGTATCCGTTTCTAGATAGAAGCACAAATGTCAGTTTAATTTATTATGCCACTTTTTTTTTTTTTTTGGGCGACAGTAAAAACAGTAGACCTGAAGCAAATATTAGTACTTCCCCTGAGACTTCCTGCTGACACTTCATTAGGGGAAACCACTGAGTTATTTGAGTGCAGGTCTGTTTTCTCCAGGACGTTGTGACTCGACTGTACAGTAAGAGAGTAACAAATGTAATAAAACACAACATGGTCAAAAACCTGACGGTTTCAAAAAATAGTAACAATAATCAAAAAGTATGATAAATAGTTTTCTATAATGTGCTGGGAGACGTGTAGTGTGTGTGTGTGTGTGTGTTTTGATGATGTGATTATCGGTATCACTGATTATCTGATTAGGGCTGCAGAAGCTGCAGTGGTCATCTTGTTCACTTTGTAGCTGCACACAAGGCAAAATGCTGGGGTTGACCTTTTTAAAAAAAAATTACAAAAGAATCCAGCTAATATAAACTATAGAAATTCTCCAAATATAATGATCTATTCAAATGATTGACTTGCGACGTTTATGAAAAACGCATCGCCTTGTGTCGTCTACATCGTAACGCTCTCCATCGCCACTGAAGTATTACGGAAAATAGTTTTTTAAAATAGTGTTAATGCTGATCTCTTTATTTAAAATAGTTTATTTGACAATAGAGAGGATTATATGTTTTTCTGTGTTGATGTTACAGTGTTACAGTTGTGATGTCAGCAGCGTGTCTTTTTTGTTTGTTCGGCGCCACCTGATGTATGAATCTTCTCAGTTCGCAGATCACACTCTGTCTGCTCCTGATCAACTTTTAATAAGTTATTCTTCATATCTGAATGTGTCTTCTTTGGTTGCTCTTCACTGAGTTTTAGAACTGAAATATTCCACTGATTATGCTTTTGGCAAGCCAGTCTTCCTGAACTCTGTTTTATTTTTCGTTTTGAATGGACGTTATCGGCTCGGTTTTAGTCGTCCCTGAACATCAGTTGATGTTGTAGTGTTGATTTGACCTAGATGTTGCTCAAACTCAACCTGAGCTCAAGGTTTCATTCCAAACAGAAACACTAGGCTTTGATGTGTTGTTTCAGAAGAAAACTACACTAAATTAAAAATAATAATAACGATGACCAAGAACTAAAGTTTGTAGCAAATTAATGGAAACAAGTTTTGGATCCTCAAGTTCTCAACTCGAGCAATGTGTGCGTTTTGTTTACTATAACCTTTTTAAAACATTTAAGAAAAAGTATGCGGTTACACACAGAACCAAACGAGCACTTTATAGTGTATAGGCTTTAAAACTGGGTAGCTTTAAAGTACAGTAAAATAACACACTATATAATCTGCTTTAGTGTCATAAACTGCAATATTCAATTTTCTTGACGCCCACAGGTGTTTTGCCCCAAAGAAGATTCTGCTGATTTTTGTAGACAGGTTTGCTGAAAGGCTAGGCTAAGGTTAGCATCTGTGATCTGTTTTGGCTTGGCTGGCGGCATCTTTCAGTGTGACTCTAGTCAGTTGTTTACAGATAAAAAAAAAAGATGCTGAAAAGCTGTCACCCTCCTGCTTTAGAAACCGAGCGCTCCGCCTCGATCGTCACACATTTCAATGAATGGCGTCTCGGCTGCTCTCTACTGAGTTTTTCCTGAAGCCACATCTTTCCAGGCGCAACGAGCAGACTGAATAGAAGCTGCAGCAGCCAGTATGGTCTCCTCACATTCTTCACTGTGAGCATCGTTGTAAAAGAGTCGCAGCACTTGAATGTTCATGGTCACCATTTTTAAAAAGCGGCTGAACAAGTTCTAGTCGACGGACGGTACACAAACAACCAGCACAGGGGGCTGAACTTGGTGCGGAGCACTGATTAAAACCACAATCCATTTCTTAGGACCAAATCAGGACTTCTTCGTTCTCTATTATAGATTTTAAAGCTCTACTCGTCAGAAAGCCGATGTACCCTCAATAGTTTTGGCTATAATGTGCCTAAGAAAGTAATTAAATTCTTCTTGTACAAGCTAAAACTAGCTAAACCAAATAAAACAAACTGGTATGCTTGAAGTAGCATTCAATTACATAACCCATCTTCCTTTGTACCTTTATTTACTTTGTCACCCTGTTAGTTTTTAAATCCTGCAGATATCTTTTATGTTCACAGAGCGATTGTAAGACAATTGTTAAAAACGAATATTCAGCTCGCTCCTCACTGCCCCAAACTGGTCAGTCAATTCTTGGTCATATGAGAGAATCATTCACCAAAACAGGGAAGCCTAAAACTTGAACACCATTATGCCTTCTAACAACTTTCCCCAATTCTGTTCCTACTTCTTACAAGTCTAGATTAAGCCGTTAAAGATTTAGTAAAATTGAGAGAAAATGTGTGCATTTGGAATGAAATCTTCTGTGTTTCTATGTATCCGTTGGAGATTTATGACCTAAAGCCCAGTTCAGAGCAACAATTTGTACTCTTGTCAAAAAGTGTTCTGTGTTCAGGTTATTGCAACAGTTTGGTTTCCGTATTTATGGATTAATCCTCTGTTTGCCACAGAAGGAGGCCAGAGGTCAACGTACATTGGAAACATCTCACTGAATACTGCTCCTAAATGAAAGTTTTAATTATTATAGTAATATTTTCAGGGTTGGTTGTTATATTTTCTTGGATTTTGTCTAAAACAGTGTTTATCGTCATTTCAGCGAACGGCAAACAGCCTAATGTTTCCTACAGTCTCCTTGGAGATGCCGGTTGTTCTATGTGTAAGTCGTCAACTTGTTGCTGTGAGCGATTCCTTCGCCCGTACCTCCGTGTTTGTGTCGGCCAGTGATTGTCGCCGTGGTTCGTCCGTCTGTGGTTGGAGATTACGAGCCGTTCCGTGTGTCTGTAATCTCTCTCGCTCTCTCTGTGTGTGATCAGCTGATATGTCTTTTTCACCAGGCTTCCACAAGCTCACCTCCCTGGGAAAAACACACCGTCCCCTGTTCCTTCGCAGCTTGTAAATCGCCCGTCTGTCCTCAGAGGAACGCAGGCGGGTTTGCTTGTTCAAAGCGGTCGATTTCTGCCTGACGAGGTTTTGCTGGGACCAGAGCCTCCTGAGCTTGTGGGCTTGTGAAGAGTATTTTGCACATACCATTTTTTTTTCTTCAGCAGCAGTTTTTTTTCTTTTTTGCCGTCTGCCTATAACAGCAGTTATAACAAACCAACTATTATGCTTGTACATACAAGATAGTACTTGATATATTTTTGTTCAATTGTTTTTGTTCATTCTACATGTTTTGTAGTACTGCTTTTTTCCATGATTGCGTCTGTCGGTAGAACAGATGTGGGGTCAACAGTGAAAGTGCTCATTGTTTTTTTTTTTAAAATAAAGATATTCCTCGTTTGTAGCCGTGTATTTTTTTTTTATTGTTACTACTATTATTGTTATTCTGACACTTGGTGGTCAAGAGAATTTTAAACCTTCAACAGAAAATATTTTTAATAAGTATTACCATTTGAACATTTTCAGATTACAGATTTAAAGGTGTTTTCTGCGATTGGACCAGCCGCACGTTTGGGCTTCACAAATCTACTTCTGGAAGAATGTTCATAACTTCCTGTGTTACCTTGTGGAAAGTCTATCTGGAAGACTTTCCAATCAAGTCCCTTGGATAGCATGTCGGAAGTGATCCACTGAATGACTTTGCTACTTTAGAAAGATGCTGCTTTCAGAGGCTTCTTCGCCTCCTCTCATTTGACCCTCTTGTCCCGTTTGTTAGCACAAATTGACTGTGAAGGGTTAAAGCTGCACTGTGTAGAATAAAAAAAACATACATATTTTTGTTTAATATTAAAACATATATTGTATGTTTTTATACTAAAAAAGACATATATATATATAAAATATTCCACTTTCACCCAACAGCTGATAATACTTTATAAACACTGGTTACTGAACATGTTAGCTGCAATTGTTTCACACACATGTACCCCTGAAAAGCGGAGAAAACTACAGTTTTTATTTCACAGCTGTGCAACTTTCTCTAAGTAAATGGTTCATAGTTAAGTAAGGGACTTGAAAGATAATAAAAGTGGTTGAAATTGTAATTTGACGCACTCCACCCTCCATAAGAACCAGGACATACTGCAGCAGCAGTTTGGCATTCAGCTTTGGAAATATATAAAGCAAGTTCATCCCTCATAGGGTTTCTCAGTTTATTTCTAAAACTGTATTAGTTCTTAGAAAAAAAAATACATTTTGATATATAAATTTAAACATCCCAGACGGTATTGATGTTTGAATGTCAAACATCCGACATAACCACTAGTGGCTGAAGCTTAACATTGGGGACAATGTTAAACTTTGTAGATAAATATTGGGGGCAACTTTCACGTGATTTATTAATTTGATTTCAAGTCTTCAAGTCTTGGAACCCTACAGCGTTTTTAATTTGAAAAAACCTACTTCATTTCAGTAAAAAAGTTCTACCTTTTTAATTTACAACTCTGAAATTAGTCATTATTATAGTAAGGTATGTATTTAAGTCCACACTAACTCGGGTAAATTGACCGTCCATCCCAGAGAGCGATGGTTAAACACTAATTAAGAAGAATTTACCTGTGTACATTGGCAAGGAGTTGGTAATTGTTCTATGGCTGCGTGTCCGATTGTTTTTTAAATCGTCATTATTACTATTATGCATTAACAAACGTTAACGAGTGGAACGTTCAGTCAATTTCAGTTCAACTTCCGGCGAGTCTTATTTTGGAAGAACGCCGCCGGAAGTTGCCTTGCGTCCGCGAGCTTGCCTGGAGTGTTTTGTGGAGCATCACAACATTATCCAGCCGCCGTGTTGTGAAGGGTACGTCGCCGTTTCTTCGATGAAGGTAACGAACGCGTCCTGTTTGTGATATATAAATGTGAAAGGAGAACATGCGGCGACTTAAACCGAGAGTTTGGGTGAAATAGCGAATCCCAAGCGGCGACGTTTGCGAATGTACTGCTAAATGAAGCGTCTAGTTTTACTCAGCCTCCATTTTAATTGCCGTTAAACGCCTCCTCTACTGGTTCTGGATCACACAAAGCGGGTCATTTGCTGCCCGTCCTCGCTTATTGGCTCACAGGTCGGGCTTTCATTTTTGACACGCAGCTCCAGGGTCGGGATGTGACTCGTCAAGCCGCGGCATATTTTCATATTTTGGTCTTTTCAACGAGATATTGCGCCGGTGTTCAGTCTCGGCCGTTTGGCCTTACAAAAAAAAAACACACTGCGACATCGACGCACGGACAGATGAAGACGCGGTCGCCATGTTGCCGGTTTTCTTGGAGCTCCGTAACATGACGACGGCTTTTTTCGGGGGGGAGCTGCGTTGAATAGGAAAGGCGTTGGAGTGGGAGTGTTAGTAGTGGTGCATTGCAGTGAGCTCTGGAGGAGAGGAGGAGGAGGAGGAAGGAGAACAGGTGCACCTCCAACATCAAAAAACCCCGTGAAGTCACGACGCTGCGCAGTCTGATCTCTGATCCAATTAACGCCAATTACTGCTCCACCTGAGTCAGCAAAGACATGATTGTTTGATTTTTGAACTGATCGATCGTGATAGTTTAATACTGCTGTTGTAAATCATCCTAAAACAAAACACAAAGAGAATGCATATAGGTAGTATAGTTCATCATAACCTAGTTTCAATAAGACCCACTGACAGTTGCTCTTCGTTTGTGAAAGCGCTTATTGTTGTTGTTTTGACGTTAATTAGCCAGCATGTGCCTTCATAAGTGGAGTTGTTTCCTGCCTACAAACACTGAGAAGCTTCAGTCTGTGTTTTAAGATGGTGACGTGTATTCTGACCTCATACGGTTGTCAGACGGCCATTGAAATGAACAGTTTTTATTTCTTGATGGGCTCTGACTTGGAGCTTAAAATACAGAAAAGTATTGGGGGGAGAGGGGTTTTCTGAAAAAAGATGAAAAGGCGTTTAAAAAAACCTAAGAATTATAATTTTTGTTTCATGCACGTTGTTTCAATAAGAATCAGACTGACGTTAGGCACAGATTTTGTTATCTATACAACATTCCTTAGTTTCTTGTTGCTTAATAACTACTTTTTCTATTAATGAACATGCAGAAGACAAAAGTGTTTGAGCTAGAAGTCAGAACCACGTATGTAAAGACTGTATTGGTCAGAAAAATGCACCAGGCAGAACTTTTATTTATTTATTTTTTTTGACTTGACCTGCAAATGGTTGGTTTCAAAGTGGCTGTAAATACCACATGATAGCATTGAATATGTATATTTTTCTCACCTTCCTTCTCTGAACATTAAGTATGTTCAGTTTTTGCTTTGGCGTTTTAAATTCGCACTTTGTTTTCACGGTTAGTAAAACGAGCAAAAATCTCTTGAGAAAGTAGAACGTTTTGGTTCTTTTGACTGTGCCACATCCAAACAAGAGTGTTATTAATCGCACATCAAGCAGGGTTTAACTATCTCGATGACCAAGAAACTTTATATTTGTTTTTTACCTTGCAAGTTCATTTTTAGTTGATTTCTCTTTCATTTTTATTTAAAATTGGCAAAGCATTTAATCCTTTCAGGGACAGGTGTGGTTAAAGTTAAATGCGCTATGTGAGCTGTATCTTCTCTTAGCACTCTACCCGTCTTCTTCTCTGTAGGAGGATCTTTCAAAAGATTAGTTCTCTCTTTAAATTCACTTCCTGGTACCGGACAGATTTTGTGTTTACTTGTAGCCAACGGGTACTGAGTAATCTGATTTTGGGACGAGTAAACTAATGTGTACCCTCTCACACACAATCATTTTATCTTTAGTGTAACTCTCTGTTACCTGTTTGTGTATAAAATTTTTTCATTAAACAGTTTTTTCTAACTACTTTGATAATATAGGCTATGAAGTCACATGTGTTGCATATTCATTGTCTGATTCTCTACATCTGATTGTCGTGTTTAATCTGAATAAAATCTTCATTCTCATGTCCGATCTGCAATTTTTCTGTTATCTGGTCAATAATAGATATTTAGTTGCCTCATATGGCTACGCTCTTGTCTCCTGTTGATGATGTTTGTGTATAAACTAGTTCGCATAAGTACCAACATAACATTAGCATGTTTGGACTCTCGATATTGATAAAACTTGTTGATGGTGGATTAGAAAGCGGTTCCGGTTTTCTGTGCGTGGTCAAAAGAAAAGTTGTCTTCCTGCTACTGAAGCTCAGCGCTTTGAACGTCAAAAATGTTGATAATGGCTCGCAGCATCCAATACAGTCTCTCTTTCGCTCTCAATGTCTTTTCAATAGTAAAAACAAGTCTGTGGATTGTATGAGAAAACCCAGATACGTTGGATTAACTAAATAATGTAGAATGTGTCACCTAAAACAGTTTTCTAAGACAGTCATGAGGCTACCAGTAACTCAAAGCTAATATACCCATCCTGGCGAGTGTTTTTTTTTTGCGACTATCGTGGATAAGTGCTTATTTCTCTCCAGTTCCCTGGACGACGTTTGTACATTTTTGTGGATATCGAGTTCTTAAATTCCTTTCATGATGGTCTGAAAAAGTCTTAGATATTGGTCAAAATAATCAAGCATGTCAAGCTGAAAATCTTAACGACTCTGACCAACTACTGTGCAATCGGCGTTTTTTGTTTTTTTGTGAGTTTTTCAGCAGTTAAAGTATATTGTTTCACAAAGCAGCAAAGTATAAATAAGCAGAGCTGTACAGTAAATGTCTCTTTCAATCACATTGTGGACAGTGTGCATGAAACCACGTAATGTCCACCATGGTGTATCCGCGTGAAGAAGCCCTGGAGCGCCTGACCCAGGATGAGATCGTCCTCAACACGAAGGCCGTCATGCAGGGCCTGGAGACGCTGCGCGGCGAACACACGCAGCTGCTCAACTCGCTGCTGGACTGCACCCAGCCTCCCGTCGCCCAGGAGAAGTCCGGCCTCCTCCGGAAGAACCTGGAGGACATTGAGCTGGGCCTGGGAGAAGCGCAGGTTGGCTCCGGTCCAGTCGGCAGCTCTCCCAATCCCCCCGTCTCTCGGCAGATGCTCACGTTCTGTTTCGTTGTCGCCCAGGTTATCATCGCTCTGTCGAACCACCTGAGCGCCGTGGAGTCGGAGAAGCAGAAGCTGCGCGCCCAGGTGCGCCGGCTCTGCCAGGAGAACCAGTGGCTGCGGGACGAGCTGGCGGAGACGCAGCACAAGCTGCAGCGCAGCGAGCAGTGCGTGGCCCAGCTGGAGGAGGAGAAGAAGCACCTGGAGTTTATGAATCAGATCAAGAAGATTGATGACGACGTTTCCTTGTCGGAGGAGAAGAGCCAGAGCTCCGGGGGCAGCGGAGGCAAGGGAACGGGAGGAGGAGACTCTTCAAAGGACAGCCTGGATGATCTGTTCCCCAACGACGATGACCAGGGAACAGGTAGCTGTGATCTGCGTCGTTTGTAATAGGATATTGCACACACAGAGCTACAGAGCATTAATCGTTTATGCAAGGAAGTCACGGCACTGCAGCCGACCATCCTGATTGATTTAGTCCTGTTTTTCCAGATCAGAAAATTCTAGATCAATGGTTTGCCATACTTGCCTTCAATTCACAGACATATGTCAATTTAGAGCTTGAATAAAACATTCTGGAGAAATGACTAGAATAGATCTAAAGTAACGCCTTAACGGCTGGTAATTTGTTTCTAAATGTTTCAGGGTAAAAGAACAAAAGAAGATAGAAGTGAATTCAATAAAATTTCTTTACGTCTCGGTCTGGTTCTGTTCCAGCCCAGCCCAGTGGGGAGACGGCAGCCCAGCAGGGGGGCTACGAGGTCCCGAATCGTCTCAGGACGCTGCACAACCTGGTGATCCAGTACGCCTCTCAGGGCAGGTACGAGGTGGCTGTGCCTCTGTGCAAGCAAGCCTTGGAGGATCTGGAGAAGTCATCCGGACACGACCACCCGGACGTTGCCACCATGCTCAACATCCTGGCCTTGGTGTATAGGTGAGCTGATGGGAAGGGATATCCTTTTGATTTATATTTATAAAAGCTTCTTACTACTATCGAGCTTTTTTTTTTTATCTATGTTTCCAGGGACCAAAACAAATACAAGGAAGCTACTCACCTCCTGAACGACGCCTTATCCATCAGAGAGAAAACCCTGGGGAAGGACCACCCGGCGGTGGCCGCAACCCTCAACAACCTGGCTGTGCTGTTTGGCAAGAGGGGCAAGTACAAAGAGGCCGAGCCGCTCTGCAAGAGGGCCCTGGGCATCAGAGAGAAGGTGAGGACCCACAGCACCGAAGGACACAAGAGCAGTGCTGATTTTAAATCTGTTTTCCATTTGAGTGAAAGCCTGATGCTAATGATGTTTGTTTGTGTTCAGGTGCTGGGGAAGTCCCATCCAGACGTAGCAAAGCAGCTCAACAACTTGGCCCTGCTGTGCCTGAACCAGGCCAAGTACGACGAGGTGGAGTACTACTACAAACGGGCCCTGGAGATCTTCGAGTCCAAACTGGGAGCCGACGACCCCAGCGTGGCCAAGACCAAAAACAACCTGGTGGGAACCCGATGGATCCCGAATCCTCCTTACCTCCTCTATGTCCTTTCTCTTCAACATCTGTAGTTTTCAAGGCAACCACCGTCAGCGCACTGATTTGTCGTTTCCTTTTAGGCCGCTTGCTACCTGAAGCAGGGAAAGTTCAAAGATGCAGAAGTTCTGTACAAGGAGATTCTGACCAGAGCACATGAGAAGGAGTTCGGATCAGTCAACAGTGAGTGAAACCATCAGCAGCTAAGCTAGGAACTCAGCTCACAACCCTTAAGAAGACTTAATTTCATGCATCTTAAATGAAGGCCTTAAAAATGTGCTAATGCAAGTTTTAAATTTTGAACTATTAAATCTCGTATATGCAGTTATTTTCCTTCTTGAAACTTTTCTGTCAAGCAAAAGTTTGAGTCATGCGCTGACATCTTCGCTGCATTTTGAGGCGGTTCAGGCTACCGATAACTATCGGCTAATATCCCTTAGCAAGCAATATTCCCTTGCTAGCTAACTAGCTAGCTATCTCTTTGTGTCGGTCATGGGCTTGATACGTGGAGAGCGACAGACAACGGCGACATGAAAACGTCGCCTGCCCTTTAAGCTCAGATTTGTTAGTTTGCTTTGTTGTCTCGTTTCTGTTGCCAACCTATGCAATACATTGGTGTTTTTCTTTGGCCACACCCTCTGATCCCTTTATCACCCTGATGTCCCAGCAGGTCAGAGGATTACTCAGTGATTCCGAAGCTGCTTTATGTCCCCGTCTCCCTCCTCTCTGTCAAACCAAGGCTTTACAAACCGCTACTGCCCACACGCTCGGCACCAGACCGGGCCTCAGCCGGAGCTTGGTGAATGACTGTGTGTCGTTTGAGAAAACCCACAGAGAGGGGTCAGGAAGGATTTAGGCTTGAAACGGTTAATCGGGGTTAATTGGTTATGGAAGGAATTATCGACTACTTTTCAAAATCGATTAATTATTAACTATACAGACTCTGAAACTTGTCGTTTGCTAAATAATCAAACTTGTCGTTCGATTATTATACAAAGGGTCCATTAAAAACTTTTTTTAATACCTCTTCTGTGACATAAATCTTGTACAACTTTTTTTTGAATGTTGACACATTCAAAGCGGTACTTAAGCCAAAACTTTAAGAAAAACAAACATTTTGCATTTATGATGAACAGCCTTCTTCTTCTGTAAATATGTTTTTCCTAGAACTCATCAAGTGGCGTAGTTCAAATATATTTACTATTAATCATCTTTATGGTTCCCAGTTAATAACTGGTTAATATAAAAATAACCATCAGATCCGCCTTGCACTGTATTGATGTGAAGTGGAGCAGAAGTTTACACTATTTACACTACAGGAATGATGTTATTGCATGTTAGGCAATGAAATGTTTTTTTTTTACTTGAAAATAAAATTATTTATTTGTTTGCACTTTTTAATGTACTTCTACTATTGTATAAAAATGTTTAGCTGGTTAAATGACAAATCTGCAGAATGTGCCAATTTTTTATGTTTTTTAAATAGATTGCCAGAATATTCAGTTAGTAAAATAATCGTTAGCCGCGAGCCTGGAGCGTTTTATAATTGAGATTTTCCTCGTCTCATTTTGCAGATGACAATAAGCCCATCTGGATGCACGCAGAGGAGAGGGAAGAAAGCAAGGTCAGTCATTAACGTCGACCTTTGATAGGCCTGCCGCCACATTTTAAACAAAATGGACTGAAAAGGACTACAAAGATACGTGGAGAGCGACAGACAACGGCGACATGAAAACGTCGAGTTGCTCTTTGACTCGGCTTCTCTCACTCTCTGCTTGTTCTCATCCTGATCCCCGCCTGTGTGTCTCTCTCTGTCTGCGTCAGAGCAAACAGAAGGATTCTGGGCCGTACGTGGAGTACGGGAGCTGGTACAAGGCCTGCAAGGTGGACAGGTGAGACACGATCAAAAATTCCCAAAGGAAACAACGTGATGGCTGGTTGATAGTGCCACAAATCACCTGATTGCCTTCATTTTATGAGGGAGTGATACAACAATGTCATCAAAAATGGAGAAAATGAATTCAGGCATCTGGATTTGCCAAATAATTTTTAAAAAGCAACATTTTTTGCTCATTGAGTTTTTTTCTTGTTGTGTAGTCCAACTGTGAACACAACCCTGAAGAGCTTGGGAGCGTTGTACCGTCGCCAAGGCAAACTGGAGGCAGCCGAAACGCTTGAGGAGTGCGCCAGCAAGACACGCAAACAGGTACAACACACAAACTCAATGCTCCACACTCTTTGACTTACTGATGTCAGACTAGCTGCTTTCTCAGCTACGTCCCCTGAGTAGTTCAGAAGGAATTACGGCTGAAGCTCCTCCAAGATCAGACACCAGCTTTGTGTTTATTCTCTGAAATGTTCAGCTTTTACAGTCTTTCTATTGTTGTTTTTCCTCATCTTTGTGTGATTTTGTTCTCCCAGGGGATCGACGCCATTAACCAGAGCAAGGTGGTGGAGCTGCTGAAGGACGGACCGGGGGGCGGGGGCGACAGGCGGCACAGCAGGGACGGACCGGGGGGACGAGGAGACAACGAGGGCGACGAGTCCGCAGAGTGGAACGGGGTAACGTAATCTGTCGTTTATTATTGCAATAAATCGAGTAGTCGGATAAAAATACATTGGTAAATCTAACATAACAGCAGCATTACTATCGCATATCAACATAAATCCAATTTTGCATGTTTGAGCTTCCCTAACAATAACTTTTCTGTAGTTTAGAAAATTAACCTGTAACAATAACATCTCACTTTCTAAGTTAACCTGAAGAAAAGTCGTACAAAAATCTAAAATCATTTGCAATTTAATAATAAAGAGGCAGGCTCACAAATGCACTTATAAAAATGTCTATCCTCCAGCTATGTTCATCTTCAGTTTAATAGATGAACTCTGACCTTGCCCAGACATTTATAGCTTTGTGTTCAGCAATAACAGTGACAGAATTTAACGCCTTCGTTCGTCACACACAGAAACATCTACCAGGTGTGTAACGCCTCCCATTAGAGGCGACTGGAATCATCCTTAAAGCTACGCGTCTAAAACCGGCCGCAGTGTTCAGTCTACCAACACGGTGCGTTAAATAATAAAACATAAATTAACAACGCTTCGAGGCAGGTACATTTTCCTCTAGGAATTTTAATAATCGAGGACTCGCATCAATCTTATGATTGTCCTGTTGTAGGAAACCCTCTAAAAATGACAGAGGATCTTTTAAACCTCTCATTTCCATCCCTGATCGCTGGTTTCTTTTCTCTCTCTTCAGGACGGTAACGGGTCTCTGCGCCGCAGCGGCTCCTTCGGAAAGATCCGGGACGCTTTGAGGAGGAGCAGCGAGATGCTGGTGAAGAAGCTGCAGGGCAGCGGACCTCAGGAACCCCGAAACCCCGGGTAAAAACAACGTGGTCTCTGAAAAAATGCAATTTCAGAAAAGTAAATTGGCCTTGGATTTTTATTTTCTTTTATCTACAATGAATGAATGCAAGTTTCTTGCGAGTTGGCTGGACGAAGTTTATACATTTTTGTGATGCTGTTTCCGTTTTTCAACACAGAAATCTTGTTGCCGTTTGTTTTTGCACAGAATGAAAAGAGCGAGTTCCCTGAACTTCCTGAACAAGAGCGCAGAGGAAACCACGCAGGTAAAGACGGTTTACGCCAAACCTCTGACAGTCTTTAAAAATACACAACTACATCCCTCCCTTCCTTCCCTTCTTAAGATTTACTTTCGTTTTAATTCTTACTTTTGTTTTACTAATTTCTTTTCGTTTACGTTTTATTTTTTTATTTACCTTCGTTTGTTGTTTTTATCTTTTTAATCTGTTTTTTTGTTGTTTTTTTTAAGTGCCTCGGTGCAGCGAGACGGTTTTTAACTGCATGACTGGAAACTTTTCTAAGTTTCCCAATTTATTAAAGTTGATTTAAACAAGCATCATCCTGATCAGCTGAAAACCATGAGCTAATTACATCTGGTGATGATATGAGAAGAAGTGAGTTAGAAATGGAGCTTTGGGAAAAAGATGATTATCTGTAATCAATGCATTGATCTGCTGAACCTCCATGAAGGTTGAATTCAAAATGAACTCCAGGAGAAGAGGAGAGCAGGTCAGGTTTTGTTTGTGCGTTAAAACCTGCTGTGTTTTTCTGCTGGACCGGTCCCGAGCTAACACGAACCGATCCGTTTCCAGGACGCCAACTCCGGCCTCTCAGACAGCAGGGGACTCAGCGCCAGCAACGTGGACCTGACCAGACGCAGCTCCCTGATTGGTTAGACACGGCGGCGAGGCGGGGGGACGGAGCAGGAAAGGGCCATTTACCTCGGTTTGAGCAGCAGCTTTTATTGGTTTTATTTTAAGGGACACTGAAAAAAAAAAAAAGAACAAAGAGACATGGCCACACTTGATGTCACCACTGCTGCTACCGCTGTACGCACCGCTGCCATCAACCAGAACGCCGAATAGCATCGCACACACACTCACTCACTCACGAGCATGTTGCTGAACTAGAAAGTGGAATGTCTGCACCTGAGCGCCTCATGTTTTCAGCCAGTAGCTCCACGGTTCCTGCCCAGTCTCACCTCTCCTCTGCAGACACATTCGGAGTTTTCAAGGCGACGTTTGTTTCCGTTCGACGAGACGCTTGCCGGTTTGTATATTCCACACGTAGCATGACGTAATCACCGGCGACCGTTGCGCCATCCGAACACAATCGACCTTTTAGGGAAGCATAAGCACTAACCATTTCAACCTCAAACTGTTTGCCTTCGTGGGTTTTTTTTATTTATTTTTTTATGTGTATGAACGCTTTTAAATTATTTGACGTTTCCTTGTGTATATAGTTCGATCTGTTTTTGTTTACAAGTTTATGGGGTTAAGGAGGGACTTAACTGGAGAAACACTCGTCTGACAGAAGGAGACTGGGAACAATATGTGGGGAAAACAAAGGGAAAGTACAGAAAATCCGATTTTTGCTCCATCTTGTCATCGAATAATAAAAACACTCATAAATCCATCATCTATTGCTGAATTTAGCGATCAGGGTTTCACTCCAAACTGGAGACACGCACTTGAAGCCTGAAGTGAATGTCTTAGTGAGCAGAATCAGGGCAGAAAATCCTTCATTACTTTGTGGTTTATTTGCGGAGGAAATCAAATGGAAAAGAAAACGCAGTTGAATATTTTATTTAAAAAATTAAAAAACTCTTCTACTAATACCAACCAGCTTTTATTCTGAAGGAAAACGACGCTTTAAGACGTGATGGAGCTAATCAGGAGGGGCTTCAGGCCTGAGTGAGTTGGAGTCTCACAGTCACTGGAGATCTTTAAACATTCGTACACCATTTAGTTTTAGAAGCTGTTGTGTGTTTACTGAAAGTAGAACGGTTTTCAGAAACGTTGCCGTCAACCTGGCGAAGATGTGAAAAATAAAAACTGCGAAATGAATGATTCTTTTACTGCAGCAGCATCCTGGTATCTCAACAGTGCAGAACACCAAACCTCACAGAGTAGTTTTGGTCCAGGTTCTTACAAAAATATCTTAGTACGTTCAAAATAAAACAAAACTAACTTACAAGTAACTTCAGAGCAAGAAATGGGAGCTTGCTTGAGATTCCTTAACGTTTAGGGATCATTGACTCAAAACAAGCCCCCATTTCTATAACTACAGTCGAAAAGTTACTTGAAAGTCAGTTTTCTCTTGATTCAAACGTACTAATATATTTTCAAAAGACACTCGAGCAAAAATGGCTGCTAAAATTAGGTGTTTTATTGCAATGCAAGTGTTAGTTTATGATGCTGTGTTGTCAACCCGGCTACCCACAGAAGTTGCATTAGGAAAACAAGCCCACAGCATGACTCATATTCCACCTTACTTTAGCACAGAGCATGATGTGCTTGTTTTACTTTGTCACGTTTTGTTTCAGACAAACACTTGTCAAAATCCACATGTTTACACATGTTTACATTTGTAACAGTAGGACAGGAAATGCCCTTTTCCAGACTTTTGTCTAACGGTTGCCGTGGAGACCAGTCTTTAACGCTGTTCCCTAAGAGTTTGCAAATATATATTTTTTTCTTCCTCCGTTTACTGGCAAGATGCTCTCATCCAGTCTAGCAGTCACTAATCGACTTCTGTGTCACGCCATATTAATACCCCCTGGAAACAGGAAGTTATTTATCACTAATTCATAGTTCCACATTTTGTAGGCCAACCAAAAATTACAAAATATATGTAAATAATTCCTTGTACTGGTTACTTCTGTCTGTGTGAGATTACACTGCTGGAGTAAAAGAAATTAAGTTTTTTGGGTTTTTTTTTTTAGCATCTTCATCAGGGATGGAAATAAAATTTTAGCATTTATAAAAGTGATTTGTGTATAATTTTGCACCGATCAACGCTAAGGGGCATGTTTTCGATCCTCATGTGTCTGACAGACAATAATCCATCATCTGTGAATTTACTTTAGACTGTTTTTTTTTCTCTTCTTCTTTCAATGTTGCTACTGTGAGCTTTTATTTTGAAAGTACACACTACTGGTTATCTGAATGTTGCTTTTCATGACTTTCACTGGATTGTTGTGCTAAACTGGAACAAAAAAAAACCCCCAAAAACAATCCACCAAAGCAGAATGTACATGAAGTCTGATATCATTTGTATTTATGATAAATATCCTATCAGCTTCTGAATGTTGGGACTTTTGCAGGAATTCAGAAAGTGATTAACCTTTATATATATATATATATATATATGTAAGTGTGTGTTAACAGTGTATTACGTCGACACCACCGCTTGTCGATGGGTTTTCTCCAGCGCACCAGGCGGCTCTTCACTGTACTAATCACATTTTATTCTGCAGAACCCCGGATCAGAAAACTTCCACAGAAATGAGTAGAATATTTTGCTATCAGGAGAGAAGAAGACGACAAAATAAAAGAAGCTGCGACGGTTTTTAAGTATGAATCTGCTGCTTATTGAAAGAGCAAAGATGCTTTTGTGGTGGAAACGTGGCGTTGGAGATGCTCCTGTAAAACGTGTTTTATCGAAAGGCTCAATAAAGACAAAAAGTTCCACTTTAAAAAAGAGAAAAAGAAAGAAAAGCCAGCCCCGTCTTTCTTTCCTTCCTGTCCAGAAACTCGCTCCGTGTGCGTGAAAGTGTTTTTTCACAGCGCCTGTCTGAGCCGTAACGCCTGCGGCTCAGGCCGAGGGCGTCGACCCGACGCGGCGCTGAAGCAGCCTTCGCAGCGGGGGGCGAGTGTCTCCGCGCTACTTCCTGTCTCACCGACAGGCGAGCCCCGCAGAGAGGAAACCAGACCCACTGAGCGCTTCTCGCAGAGGAACCGGCGGCGCGATGATGGACTGACTGATCGGCTGCGTCGTCGAGACGACAAACGCTGGAGCATGGATGAAGCGGGGTCAGAAAGTAAGGCTCTTATTATTTTTTTCAATTCGACTTGGAGAATCAAAAAGAGAAGGAAGTCTGACACACCTTGCATGTCATGACCTGCTTTCATTTATCAACGCAAAGCAGGAGACTTGTAGGGGAGGAGGGATGCTTAAAATGTCACCTTCTGTTTGTGACGATATCTGCGGCTCTAAATGCAGATATTCTGAAGTCATGATCTTAAAGAAGAGCCATTCACAATAGTTTCTTTCACTAATTCAATTTAAAAACAACAAATTGGAAATATTAAAGATTTATGACAGATGTAGTTCCATCAGTGTTAACAATAATAGCTGAGTATTATTATTAAAAGCAGCTGTTTATAACAGAAACTACAGTCTGAATACAAGAATATCAAAATAAGAGCATTAAAAATGTGATTTAGTTTGAGTGTTTTTGCTGGTGTTGTGTCACAGTCGCGGCGAGGCCTGCTGACTGTGTGGTTGTTCCTCCCACAGGAGGAAGCCTGCTGAACAAGCTGACTGCTGCACACAGATGTTTTAATGGAAAGTTGAGTGGATGGAAAACGGCATTAGTACAGAAGACATTTGAAACAGAAATGCTAGTGTTGTTTTTTTTTTGTTTTTTTTAAATCTGAAAAAGTATATCTGCAGTGTGCAGGATTGGCACTGAATATTTGCGCAGGGGTTCCGTGTTGCTGAAGTGCTTCAGCATTCCTCTGTTTTTTAGGTCATTAAACGAGACGGTCAGGGGACGATTTACTGGACGTGCTTCTGCTGGTTTTTGTGGCACGCTCTGCACCAGTCTTTCCTTCACAGTCCCCTCAAGACCGCAGTCATCCCTGCTGCCTTTGCACCCTTTTCATCCCCAACCACGATATCCTTCCACTGAACTTTCCAGACACGGCACCTCCGTCTGTGCGATCGGCGAGCTTCTTCGGCACGTTAACCCTTTAGTGGTTTACGCTCTTTGTGGAGGTGTCAAGCCAGCAGTTTTCAACACGTTTGCGTTTGTGGCAACACTGGGCAGAACACAGCAGTTCATTTTTTACTTTTTATTCATTTACTTTTTACTCTGACGTCATCAAAACTTCTGAGAAACTGTAGTTTGGGTTGCAGTTAAAGGCGTGATTGTGAAAATGATAGAAAGAAACAGTTGAATCTGTGTGAGTTTCTCTTGTCAAACTGGAGATAATTGGACTTTTCAGTTTGATCATTTTTCTAATAACTTGTACAAAATTTTCTCATTCTTCTGCATTTTATTTATTTTTTCCCCACAGATCGTGCGTCCGTGTCTGCGGAGCCGCCCTTCAGTCCCACCGCGCCGGCTCTGGTCCAGTTCCAGCTGGGGCTGTTCAGGGAGATGGTTCGGGTCCCGCCCGGCAACCTGAGCTACCGCCACGCCCGCCGACTGGCGGCCGAGGTCATAGAGAGAAAGGTGACCGGGGGCAAACGTCTATCGGGTCGAGCGAGGCGGGGTCTGTCGCTGAGAAATGACTTTGAACTTGTGGATCATTTGAGACTTAAGTTTGCTGGACATTTTAGCCAAGATTTAAACATTTCATAATTTAAAAGACTCGAGCTCCTCCGGGTTGCTGTTGTTCAGCTGTGAGAGGGAGAGCAGACAGGAAGTGGACTCTGAAAGGTCAGGAAAAATGTGTAGGCTACCGCAAAACGAGCCGTCGCTTGTGGACCCCGCCCACTTAAAGAGGCGGCAGCAGCTTCCCCTCCTGAGCCGCTGCTTTCGTGTCGGTCCGGTTCGTGTCTCCCTCCGTCTCTGGACTCTTAAATCCAGACATCGCCCGGCGTTCTCCTCCGAAGCCTCTCTGCTCACGGCGCTGCGGCTCAGGTTGTGAGCTGCTGCAGGTGTTGGTCTGTTTCTGGTCTTCATGCTGTTAAGAGTCTGTGTGGTCTGTGAGAGTGCAGAAAACTTTCCAACCACAGCCTTTCCCCTCTAACACACACACACACACACCCACGCATACTACTGTCTGGTTGTGTGCCTCTTTTCACACACAGAAATAAACTCACGTTTCCGGGCATCAGGTCAGCATCGTGTGCAGGAAAGGAGGAGTAAATGTCATGTTTTGTTGAAAAATCTGCAAAACTAAACATGTTTGTTTTTTGTTTTTTTTATGCATTTTGCATTATCAACCTCCCTGGCTTGCAGACTGAAAACTGGCATTTTAGAAAATTTAGTCAGTCAAATAGTAACTTGAAAGACTAGTTTGCTGTTTGTGCATCAGTAACGCTTTTGACTTTCTCTGCTGTGAAAACTAAAGACCCCAGCAATCAAAACCGCCGTTGGCTACTTGTGATTGTTTTTGTCGCTCTTCTTTGCGGTGTCGTCTTTTTCTCAGCCCCGTTGGAAGGGCTTCAGACGTAAACGGCCGGTTCAAGGTCACCCAGTGTGACCTCCATTGGACTAAGGATCTTCGTTCTGGTGTTTTCCATGTTTTGTCTTGAGACTGATGATCATTTGTGTTGTGGTTTTTCTTGAATTTCTTCTGATCTGCTGCTTTTTAAGTGTTGCTTTGGATTGATTTCTCACTTGAATAGAGAACATAACTATTAAGAAAAAAACTATCCTTTCATTTACTCGGATTATCTTTGTGAAGAAATCTATGTAAGAGGTGATTTATTTTAATTATTTTTTTTTTCTTTCTAGTAGATCTGAATTTTAGTTTCTTTTTAAAACTTTTTGAAACTTTTTCATGTCATTGTGATGAAAGTGGACACTTTTATTTTTGGGGGTTGGCAGACCAACTTGAAATATTAGCGAGAACTTTTGGTGCTTTTGTGAATTTAATATCCAGTTTTTAAAGAAATCTGAATTAATTGAGCATTCTACCATCCACATTCGTCAGCTCAGATACATTTTTCAGTCTAAAACTGATATGAAAGTAAATGATTGATCTTCCTTTTGCAGCTTTGATCGGTTCTTTAATGGCTCTCCATTCATAACTTCAGTTGTTGCTCTCCGTGTTTACTTTTTTTTCATGTAACTTTTCAGAGAGAAAACGTCTCATTTTGCAGGAAAATCTGTGTTTTTACATTTAGTTTACAGTTTCTTGGCTGAATCGGTGTGAAACTGCGCTCTGTGTGTGCGTGTGTGGGTGTGTGTGTGTGTGTGTGTGTGTGTGTGTGTGTGTGTGTGTGTGTGTGTGTTTGCAGGCTCCAGACTGCAGCGTTGTGGGCTCTGGGGAGAAGATCCTGTTGTTCAGACACCAACCCGCCTCGGAGCAGCTGCTGCAGCGGCTGACGGACCGGGACGAGCTGCAGGACGGAGACCTGATCGAGATCGTGGTCGCAGGTCAGACCTCGGGTCATTCACGTTCGATCGGTTAGAGGAAGAGGCGGTCATTGGGTTTCTGACAGCACCGTTTATCCGAGCGTGGTGACAAAAGGTGACAAAAGGTGACTTTTGTCACAGAGGTGACAAAAGTTCAGCAGCCGTGTTTGGAGGAACTGGAACTCAGATTTCAGCTGAAAAAGAAATAAAAAGGAAGCCGATTTCTTCATCTGCATATCAAACTACATACAGCAGTTCATTTAAAACATGTAACTCACACTACTAAGGCACAAGGTGCTTCTGACCCCTAAACTCAAATCCAAATAAGGAAACATCAGGAAGATCCTGACGGCTTCAACTCAAAACAACTGAAGTATGAAAGTCAATCTAAAGGAGCCGTTTTTATTTGTGCTTTTTCAGCCCAGTTGTTGCATTGTTTTCCTTTCTGGAACAGATTTGTGTCTGTCCACATCAGTCTCACTTGTAAACGGCTGCGGATAGGACCCTGAAAGCGATGTACCGAAACGCGTCTGGATTCATGACGAATCTGCGTTCCCGCTGCCTCGGGTTCCTTCTTCCCTCGTGGCGTTCAGAGTCAAACGGCCTGAGCGCGAGCCGCGGACTCGTCCGTGTTTCTGTCTTTCATGTATTTACGCTCACCACCTTCACAAAGCTGCTAAATCCCACAACAAAGAGCCGCTAAAGACTTTGGTTCTCTGCTCTGAATAAGTCGGCACAAAATAACTTAAAGATAACGGAGACTCGCGCTCTGTAACGCTCAGGAAGTTGCTGAAAATAAACTCATGTTAACGCAAGAAGTTTTCATTTTAAAATGGATGCATGATTTCTTCCCCGTGTCTCACGATTATTATTATTTTTCTTCCAGGATCTGCGTCTGTGGCCGAGATGAGGATGCGTCCTCACTCGCTGGTGGTCCAGTCGTACCGGACCCCCACCTTCTGCCACCACTGTGGGGAGATGCTGTGGGGCCTCGTGCGACAGGGACTGAAATGCGAAGGTA